TGCTGTCCTCATTGTGGCCAAGAAATGTCCCAGCTGAGGGCCTGTCTCGTTGTCCCTCTGTGACCCCTTCATCTTTGGTAAAGCACTGACATCTCCTTCCTAATAAATAGACCCTGAGTTCTGTACATGCCTGACTCCTTACTGAATGGCTGGGAGGGACAAAATGAAGGCAGAGGAAGAAGCTAAAAGGGAATTCCACATTTGTAGTAGACCCTCTTCCTCATCTTTAGCTTCCAACAAAGACACTTGTTTGTTTGTTTGTTTTAGATGGAGTCTCGCTCTGTTGCCCAGGCTGGATTGCAGTGGTGACATCTTGGCTCACTGTAACCTCCGCCTCCTGGATTCAAGCGATTCTCTTGCCTCAGTCTCCCTAATAGCTGGGATTACAGGCGGACACCACCACACCCAGCTAATTTTTGTATCTTCAATAGAGACAGGGTTTCACCATGGTCAGGCTGGTCTCAAACTCCTGACCTCGTGATCCACCTACCTTGGCCTCCCAAAGTGCTGGGATTACAGGCGTGAGCTACCGAGCCTGGCCAAGACACTTGTTTCTAATCTCTGGATCTGATTAACTGTTGGGGAAGTTGGGGAGGAGAAGTGTGAAAAATGGTGGAAAGTACATTGGATGGCACCTTTTACTCCAGTGGTAAGACAGAACATAAAGGCCAGCTGCTACTGCTGCTGTTTTCTTTTTTTTTTTTTTTTTTTTTTCCTTGAGACAGAGTTTTATTCGCCCAGGTTGGAGTACAATAACACGATCTTGGCTCACTGCAACCTCTGCCTCCCAGGTTCAAGTGAGTCTCCTGCCTAGGCTTCCAAAGTAGCTGGGATTACAGGTGCCTGCCACCATGCCTGGCAAATTTTGTATTTTTAGTAGAAATGGGTTTCTCCATGTTGGTCAGGATGGTCTCAAACTCCCTACCTCAGGTGATCTGGCCTCCCAAAGTGCTGGGATTACAGGTGTGAGCCACTGTGCCCGGAGGGCTTTTTTTCCTTTTCTTTTTTTTTTTTTCCAGGCAAACAGGGGAGTGCCTTTTCATTTAAAAAATGTTTGGAGGCCAGGCGTGGTGGCTCATGCCTGTAATCCCGGGACTTGGGGAGGCCGAGGTGGGCAGATCACAAGGTTGTGAGTTAGAGACCAGTCTGACAACATGGTAAAACCCCATCTCTACTAAAAATACAAAAATGAGCTGGGTACAGTGGCGCATACCTGTAATCCCAGCTACTTGAGAGACTGAAGCAGGAGAATTACTTGAACCTAGGAGGCAGAGGTTGCAGTGAGCTGAGATCATGCCACTGCACTCCAGCCTGGGCAACAGAGTGAGACCCTGTCTCAAAAAAAAATGTTTGGAAATATGTATAACTTTGATACAGTTTCAGGGTGCTCCAGACACCTGAGGCCACTTCATGTAAACCACTGACAATTTCTAGAGCACTTAGAAAGACAACAATATGATCATGATCAGATTTTGTAATTAAACCTAATGAGGGCAACAGACACTTCTCAAATAAGAGATATGTCAATTACAGGGCTCCCCTACTCTAAGTTATTCACAAGGAGACAGATAAACAGTTTTTTTTTTCTTTTGAGACGGAGTTTCACTCTTGTTGCCTAGGCTGGAGTGCAACGTCACAATCTTGGCTTACGGCCACCTCTGCCTCCTGGGGTCAAGCAATTCTCCTGTGTCTGCCTCCTGAATAGTTGTGATTAAAGTCATGCACCACCATGCCCGGCTAATTTTGTATTTTTTTTTTAGTTGAGAGCGGGTTTCTCCATGTTGGTCAGGCTGGTCTTGAACTCCCGACCTCAGGTGATTCACCCGTCTTGGCCTCCCAAAGCGTTAGGATTACGGGTGTGAGCCACCGAGCCTGGCCAGGTAAACAGTTTATGTATCCTCCTCCCTCCTCTTCATCTTCCATGTTTTTCCAGGAAACTTTAGCAGGACCTTTTGCACCATCAAACTTTCCTTTTAACTTAAAGTCAGCAATATCCTTCTCATACTTTTCCTTCGGGTTTGCCACCTTAAGTGATGTCAGGCTGCTTTTCACTGTGATTTAAGTTATTCCACATCTCACCCAGAAAAGCCAAGCTTCTTGTCTTTTTCTTTTTTTTTTTTCCCTTTTTGTGGAGAATGGGGTCTCGCTATATTGCCCAGGCAGGTCTCAAACTCCTGGGCTCAAGCTATCCTCCTGCCTCTGCCTCCCTAAGAGCTGGGATTACAGGCGTGAGCCACCGTGCCCGGCCAAGCCCAGCTTCTTAATAGAATAGGGATAAGGCCGGGCACGGTGGCTCACGCCTGTAATCCCAGCACTTTGGGAGGCCGAGGCAGGTGGATCACGAGGTCAAGAGATCAAGACCATCCTGGTCAACATGGTGAAACCCCGTCTCTACTAAAAATACAAAAAATTAGCTGGGCATGGTGGCGCATGCCTGTAGTCCCAGCTACTAGGGAGGCTGAGGCAGGAGAATTGCTTGAACCCAGGAGGCGGAGGTTGCGGTGAGCCGAGATTGTGCCATTGCACTCCAGCCTGGGTAACAAGAGCGAAACTCCGTCTCAAAAAAAAAATAGAATAGGGATAACAGTGCCTGTTTCTTGGGATTGTCATGAAGGTTACATAATGCTGGTATAAGATGCTTTAGCATAGTGCCTGGTACCTAGTAAGTATTAGCTACTAAAAGGATAATTCTGTTTATTTATTTGAGATGGAGTCTTGCTCTGCTTCCCAGGCTGCAGTGCAGTGGTGTGATCTCGGCTCACTGCAACCTCTGCCTTCTGGATTCAAGTGCTTCTACTGCCTCAGCCTCCCTTGTAGCTGGGGTTACAGGCATGTGCCACCACGAGTGGCTAATTTTTTGTATTTTTAATTTTTTTTTTTTAGTAGAGATGGGGTTTCTCCATGTTGGTCAGGCTGGTCTCAAACTCCCAACCTCAGGTGATCTGCCTGCCTTTGCCTCCCATAGTGCTGGGATTACAGGTGTGAGCCACCACACCCGGCCATTCTCTCTCCTTTTGAAAACCAAGAAGCACTGATGAGCTTCTCCATGATAGCCCTTCTGGCTGTTGATACCCTAAACCTGGTATCCTGTCAAACTGCTGCTGACTTCTCTCATTCCTTGGCTAGGGAAGAGGCCATAGTTAATCTGTAAAGATCACACATAACACATGTGTTTCAGTAGCTGAAAAGAGCACCAGTGCTCATCTAGGTTTTACACCCCAGTGTTAGCTTTATTTGGGGCCAGGCAGGCAGATAACCTGAAGTCAGGAGTTCGAGACCAACCTGCCCAACATGGCAAAACCCATCTCTACTAAAAATACAAAAAAATTAGTCTGGCGTAGTGGCGCACCCCTGTAGTCCCAGCTCCTGGGGAGGCTGAGGCAGGAGAATCACTTGAACCCGGGAGGCTAAGGTTGCAGTGTTGAGATTATGCCATTGCACTCCAGCCTGGGTGACAAGGGTGAAACTCTGTCTCAAATACAAACCAACCAACCAGCTTTATTTGGTGTTCTGACTTTAATAACAGCAGCCTTTTTTTTCAATTGCAATCTTGCTTGGGAACCACAGGATATAAAGCAGACAAAAGAGGAGCGACTTGGTTGACTAGGCTGTGGAGCTGCTGAGACCCCACAGTTTTATTTCATCCCCTCAGTGGCATCTCCTGACCAGATTCAGAGATTGGAGACCACTTTACATTTCTAAATTGTTTACAGTAATTCTCGTAGTAATGACACTTCATAGAACAGGACTGAGGTTTATTACATACTGGAGGTGAACCAAGATCTGTGACTCAAAGCACATTCCTTTTACTACTAGTAAGTAAGCTTTCTAAACTTGTTTAACTAGAGGTTAGATAATGGCCACAAAAAGCATTGTGGCATATGTTAAGTGCTAGATGCCCCTCCAGTCTCACTCCAAAGACAAGAGTCCTGAGTGTCCTCTATAGGCATCCACTGCTACAAGATTTTCCAGGATAGTTCAGATTTCAAAAATGTCCCACTGTTATCCCCTGAAGTACACTCCAACCTGACACCACATTACCTGTTTTGAAAATGTGGTCGAGGCAGGTTGAGGTGGCTCCCACTTGTAATCTCACCACTTAGGGAGGCCGCAGGAGGATCACCTGAGGTCTGGAGTTAGAGACCAGGCTGGCCAACATGGTGAAACCCTATCTCTACTAAAAACACAAAAATTGGCTGCGCGTGGTAGTGTGCGCCTGTAATCTCAGCTACTCGGGAGGCTGAGACACGAGAATTGTGTGAACCCGGGAGGCGGAGGTTGTAGTGAGCTGAAATCGGGCCACTGCACTCCAGCCTGGGTGACAGTGAGACTCCATCTCAAATAGAAAAGAAAATGTCGATATATTGATTGGGTCAGCTTCTCCTGGTGGGGTGGGACGGACAGCAGCTGCAGCCCGAGTCCCTACCACTGGCCACGAGTGCAGCATTGGTAGGCGTCAACTGCAGGGCTCATCTGGATGGAGGAACGTGATTTATTGGTTCTTTCCGACTCGTGTCTCGGCCCTGTCCACCTTTGCGGATTTTAAAATTTTTATTTTATGGTTTTTTTTTTTTTTTTTTGAGACGTAGTTTCGCTCTTGTTACCCAGGCTGGAGCGCAATGGCGCGATCTCGGCTCACCGCAACCTCCGCCTCCTGGGTTCAAACAATTCTCCTGCCTCAGCCTCCTGAGTAGCTGGGATTACAGGCACACGCCACCATGCCCAGCTAATTTTTTGTATTTTTAGTAGAGCCGGGGTTTCACCATGTTGACTAGGATGGTCTCGATCTCTCGACCTCGTGATCCACCCGCCTCGGCCTCCCAAAGTGCTGGGATTACAGGCTTGAGCCACCGCGCCCGGCCTATTTTATTTAATTTAATTAAAGACGGGGTTTCGCCATGTTGGTCAGGCTGGTCTTGAACTTGCGACCTCAGGTGATCCGCCCGCCTAGGCCTCCAAAATGCTTGGATTACAGGCGTGAGCTACCACGCCCGGCTAGCCTTTGCGGACTTTAAAAGCAATCAGTGCAGGGTTTGGGGGGAACGTGCTCACCCGATGGCAGCTCACAGGACCCAAAAAAGTCCCGGGAATGGCATCTCGGTCCGGACTCCCCGCTGGGCCCACGAAGGAGAAAGGCTGCCTCAGACTCCCGCGCCCTAGCCAAGGTCCCAGCGCCCACTGGGGCAAGTCCGGTCTCACGCCGACTTCCCGCCTTTGCCGCCAACCATCCAGTTCTTCCTCCAGGCCACGTTCTCTTGCGTGGTCGCTGCTTCCTGCAGAACGTCCATCACTAGCTGCTGGGTCCTGGTCACCTCGTCCCTCCTCAGCGGGTCCTGCAGTGGCATCTCCTGAGGGCAGGAAGGGAGGTTCACAGGAGCTCCAGTCCGGGGCTCTCCACCCGCCCACCCAACTTCGGGACTACCAGGTGCTTCTACCTTCAGCATCTCCTGCTTCCGCTGCCCTCTCGGGGTCACGATAACAAGGAGCGCGGAGCCCACGCCAGCCCCTGCGCCCAGCATTGCGACCGTGATCAGCGTTTTCCTCAAGGACTGCATGGCCGCCTGCGCAGGCAGCGGCGCGCCCTCCGGAGCCCCCAGCAGCCGCGAGCTGTAGCTGCGCCGTCTCTGTCCGTCTGCGCAGGATAGAGCGCCCGGTAGCGGAAACCACAGAGAAGCGGCGGGCTAGAGAGGACCTGCTCAAGGAAACGTTTAGAATCCAGAGCGCCTGCGTGTCAGGTTTAGCTGAGGGCGTTGAGGGTGTGAAGAGGTGCTGGCACCAAGGGCTGAGCGCGGGGACCTTGTGTCCTCAGTTTCAGAGTAGGATTGCTAGGGGGAGAGTGCGTGTCTTCATGGATGCCGTGGGTTTTATGATTGCCCACTTTTGTGTCTTCCGAAGTTTCCCGATCAGTAGAGGGCCGAGCTGTGCTCTGGTTTTCTGCAGTCACCCGCGCATTTTCAACACAGCGCGTGGAGGTTATCCACACACACACACACACACACACACACACACACACACACGTCAATCTATTATCTCCTCTCCATCCCCTCAACTCTGGAATAAACACTCAAAGTCAAGTGTACCGGTTGGAGAAACGATATCTTTAAAATTTATTTTACAAACAACCTGTTCCTTTTCTCGTCATGGTACACACTTGGCATCATTAGGGTTTTTTTTTTTTTTTGGAGGTGGGGGGGGTCGTGGTTTTGTTTGTTTTTGGAGACCCGGTCTCACTCTGTTGCCCAGGGTTGGGGTGCAGTGGCGCGATCACGGGTCACTGAGGCCTCGACCTCCTGGGCCCAATCGATCCTTCTGCCTCAGCCTCCCGAATAGCTGGGATTACAGGCACGCACTACCACACCCGGCTGTTTTGTTCTTAGCCACGAAAAAGCTGGATTCGTGTGACGTACTGAATTCTGCTTTACAGAAGAAAACACCTTAGCCGTGATCCTAGGCAAGTTCTTGTGCCCCAGTTTCTGCATCAGAAATGAAGCTTATTAACAGTACCTGCCTCGTAGTTTTAGGATAATTAAATGAGTTACATGTAAAGCAAACAAAACAGCTCCTGACAAAGAGTAAATACCATAAAAATATTCATTAAATAATATATAAACATGCCAGCTTGGGAAAATCAGTAAGCAAAGGAATCAGGAAATTCCAAGTTGTTATCAAAACTCTCGGCTCATAGGGCTTTAATCCAGATGCCCTTGCCTCCTACCCTTGCTGCCATCCCAGTGTCTGCACGGAGTAAGTAGAAATAAAGATCCTATCTCACCTCTTAGGCATTTTCCCCTCCCCAGGAAGCCCATAATCGCCTAGCACGTCAGTGCTTAAGGAGCCAGGGTCCAAAGAAGATTAGAGGAACAGTTTGTGGGGTGCACTGGGCAAGGAGTACTCTCCTCTGAGTTCTATCATCTTGCACTCCTAAGAATCACCACCATGGCCCTTGTGCCAGGGAGCAGCAAGGAGGATGGGCTTTGGAATAGAAATAGCCTAGGCTCCTCCCAGCATCCAGAAAGTCCCAGGCTGCCCAACCCTCTCGGGGACAGAGGAGAGACTGGCAAGGCTGAAGGTCACCAGGATATTCAGGTTAGTACTTCCCCACCTTGTGTCTGGCAGCTGGCTTACCCTCCAATTTGGGCCAACCTCCCTGCTGTGCCTATTCAGGTTTTCTCTCAAAAGTCCCATCTGCCATCTATTGTGGTGGGAGCCTCTGAGGTGAATGAAGAGAGTGGGGATTTCCACTGGCCCCATGAGGAACTGCTGCTGCTCACTGATGGTGAGGAAGAGGAGGCGGAGGCCTTTTTCCAAGACCAAATTGAAGAGCCAGGTGAGAGAGGTAGCTCATTCAGGAGGCCACTGCAATCTGAATGTTCTGGGCAGAGCCAAGATGTCAGTTATGACCCCTGCATTCAGCAGTGCCAGGAACATAGCAGGTGCTCAATAAATGTGAAGATCTGGGAGAGAAAAGTCAAGGCAGTTGGCAAAGTTGGTGAACTTTAGAGACCTGCAGGAAAAGATAGTTACCTCAAGTCCAACTACCTAAAACAGTTTACATTTCGATGCCTTCTCATCTAGACTTTTTTTTTCATGTCTGTGTACTGTTATAGAAGCTACATTTTGGCTGGGCAGGGTGGCTCACACCTATAATCCCAGCACTTTGGGAGGCTGAGGTGGGTGGATCATGAGGTCACGAGATAGAGACCATCCTGGTCAACATGGTGAAACCCTGTATCTACTAAAAATACAAAAATTTCCGGGCACGGTGGCTCAAGCCTGTAATCCCCGCACTTTGGGAGGCCGAGGCGGGTGGATCACGAGGTCGAGAGATCGAGACCATCCTGGTCAACATGGTGAAACCCCGTCTCTATTAAAAATACAAAAAACTAGCTGGGCATGGCGGCACGTGCCTGTAATCCCAGCTACTCAGGAGGCTGGGCAGGAGAATTGCCTGAACCCGGGAGGCGGAGGCTGCGATGAGCCGAGATCGCGCCATTGCACTCCAGCCTGGGTAACAAGAGCGAAACTAAGTCTCAAAAAATAAAAATAAAAAAAAAATTTAAAAAAAATTACCTGGGCATGATGGCACATGCCTGTAGTCCCCAGCTACTCAGGAGGCTGAGGCAGCATTGCTTGAACCCAGGAGGCGGAGGTAGTGGTGAGCCGAGATTGCGCCATTGCACTCCAGCCTGGGTGAAAAGAGTGAAACTCCGTCTCAAGAAAAAAAAGCTACATTTCTTTGAGTGTTTACTATGTGCTAGATACTATGCTAAACACTTACTTGTTCTGATTTTCAGAACAACCCAATGAAGGTATTTCTCCTTTATAAATGAGAAAATTGAGGGTGCCAAATTAGGCTCTTAGTCACATAATTGGTGTATTTTTTCTTTCTTTTTTTTTTTTTGAGACGGAGTTTCGCTCGTTACCCCGGCTGGAGTGCAATGGCGCGATCTCGGCTCCCCGCAACCTCCGCCTCCTGGGTTCAGGCAATTCTTCTGTCTCAGCCTCCTGAGTAGCTGGAATTACAGGCGCACGCCACCATGCCCAGCTAATTTTTTGTATTATTAGTAGAGATGGGGTTTCACCATATTGACCAGGATGGTCTCGGTCTCTTGACCTCATGATCCACCCGCCTCGGCCTCCCAAAGTGCTGGGATTACAGGCGTGAGCCACCACGCCCGGCCTGGTGTATTTTTTCATGAGCAAAAACTGCCACAGAAAGTAATTTCGGGCTGGAGTGCAGCAGCATATCACGTCCCACTGCAGCTTCAACCTCCCAGTGCTCAGGCTGTCATCCCAGCTGAGCCTCCTGAATAGTTGGGACTATAGGCCTGTGCCACTATGCCTGGCTATTTTGTAGTTAGGGCTGTCACTTTATTGCCAGGGCTGAAACTCCTGGACTCAAGCAATCTGCCAAGGTTGGCTTCCCAAAGTGCTGTGATCACAGGCATGAGCCACCATGCCTGGCCTTGTTTTGTAATTTAACATCAGTAATATTTTTCATTTTAACTCCCCTCTCTTCTCCATTCCAGGCTGGGCTTGGAGCCCACAGGATGCTAGATCTCCTTTAAAAACATTTAACGCTGGACTCAGCTGGGGGCAGGACCAGGATGAGGAAGATGCTTGTTGGATTCCTGAGGACATGGAGTGTCAGGAAGCCACCAACCACTGTCCTTTCTGTGACTCAGCAACAGGGTCCTGTGTTTGCAGAAGCAGCTTTGTGGAATATTCCCATCTCCTGCCTCCCAGTAGCTTTGAGGGTAAGTATTGTTCCCTTCCCTTCAAACATCTCATCCAGGTTTATGAAGCTCCTTATACCCATCCTCTCACAATCTCCTTTTACAGGTGAGAAAAATCTACAAGCCAGTCGGTGGGGCAGGGGGTTGGATTCAGTTCCTGTTTGCTGCTTTTAGGAGCTCCAGTTAGTTGGAAGTGGGTAATGACCCACTTGAAACTTCTCTTTTCAGCACTCATCTTGTGCTAAAGATTTCAACTCCGGGTTATTCCCACTCTGCAGATGAGTGAACTGGGGCACAGAAACAGTAAACATGGAAGCCAGGACTCAAATTCTCACTTTGCAGCCAGCCAGATACCTTGGAAAGACATAGCTCACTCTTCAGCCCTCTCCTTGCCCACAGAAATACTAGGGTCAGGACTACTAACATGTCTTTAATGAGAGCCTTGAATCAAGTAAGCAAAGTAGGTGATGCCCCTGAATGGGCCTAGCTCCTGCACAGTCACAGTCCAGCCACAGGACCCTTGTTCCAGGCAGGGCAGTCGAACATCAGGGTCCTCATCTGAGAACTGAATCAGGGTCCCCTGAGGGCTTAGAACCCTCAAGCATTCTGACAGCAGCTGGTAAGCCTTAGGCAGACCCCCCCGGGCAACAGCATCCCAGGTGCCCTTGTCCAGCAGTAGCTGGAAAGAACCTGAAGAAGCCATAGCCTCCAGGTTCAGGGCATCAGCCTGCATGAAGCGGAGGCAGGAAGCAGGGTGCCCAGGGCGTAGAGGCGTTTGGCCTTGGCCACCCTCCAGGAGGCTGTTCATGTGGGCCACAGCCACGAAAGAAAAGTCCACCCCAAGCACATCCACTGGGTGTGGGGATTTGGTGTAGAGGCCAGTACATAGGCTGGAAGTCCCACAGCCCACATCCAGGACCCGCAGAGGACAGGCAGAACGTGCCTCCTGCAGCAATGGCAGTAGGAGCCCCTGGACTTCTTCGTATCCAAAGAACCAGTCAAAGGTGGGGACACTGCCCAAACAGGGCTGGGAGTGGAGCCGATCCCAGAGACAGCGGTCCGCCAGGGAGCTACCAGCCAGTGAGCCTGTGGACATAGTTGGAGGGTACATGTCACTCTGTCTATGTCGCCACTGCAAAAACGACGCATATACACACTAGGACACTGAGGTCTTTTTTTTGGGGGGGGGGGGCAATTCTTTTTCTTGAGATGGAGTTTCGCTGTTGTTACCCAGGCTGGAGTGCAATGGCGCGATCTCGGCTCACTGCAACCTCGGCCTCCTGGGTTCAGGCAATTCTCCTGCCTCAGCCTCCTGAGTAGCTGGGATTACAGGCACGCGCCACCATGCCCAGCTAATTTTTTGTATTTTTAGTAGAGACGGGGTTTCATCATGTTGACCAGGATGGTCTCAATCTCTTGACCTCGTGATCCACCCGCCTCGGCCTCCCAAAGTGCTGGGATTACAGGCTTGAGCCACCGCGCCCGGCCTAGGCTGGAGTGAAGTGACTCAATCATGGCTAACTGCAGCCTTGACTTCCCGGGCTCGGGTGATCCTCCCACCCGGGCCTCCTGAGTAGCTAGGACTACAGGCGCCACCATGCCCTGTTAATTTTTGTTTTGTTTTGTTTTTTTGTAGACAGAGTTTCGCCATGTGGCCCTAGGCTTGTCTTTTACTCCTGGGCTCAAGCGATCTGCCCTCCTGGGCCTCGAAAAATGTTAGGATTACAAGCATGAGCCACCGCGCCCGGCCCACGATGGAGCCTGAGAGCCACAATTTCAGGGACTAGGCTCTCAGGTCACGAGGAACCCACATTGCCCTCCCCACTCTGCCCCCACCTCCCTACCCGCAAAAGGGAGGCACACCCCTGCCACCAGGCTCGGCAAGTGGAGCATTCGACGCAGCGCGGCCATCTGGAAGTCCGGCTAAGGTCGACCAGAGAACCTTGTGTGACGTGTCCACCCGACTCTAGCCGGAGGCCTGAGATTCAGGAGGAGATCTGCAAATTCCGCGTAGAAGAACTCGTACAGCTTCCCCGAACTCTGCAGTCTCGGAAAAAAGAACGCGGACACAGACCGACTATGGTAGGAACGGCCTTTATTGGCTGCAGCGGGATGTGGAAGAGGGGATACAGCGTCCGCAGACCTGAAATCAAATGAGAAAGTGTGAGCACCCCCGTGAAGGAAACAGCTGGATCTCGGCTGCCCTGTTCCGAGATGCCAGGTGTCTCGGCGCTTGAGGATAGAACCAGCGGATGGGAAGCCACCGGCACCGAAGACATGACGCCGAGGGGACCAGAGCCCTTTCCCTCTTCCTCCGTACATTACGGGGAGCGAGACCACAAGCCCGGTCCCCGCCAAGAAAAGGAGGGTCCTGAGGCCCAGCCCAGAGCCCTCCGCCCGGCACCTCTACTCCACCCGGACGCTCAATTCGGACGTTACAGCAACACCCACACTCACCAGCTCTCCGCCCTCCGAAAGGCCTCCCGGTTCACGGAGCTCCTTTATATAGCCCAAGGACCCGCCCCCGAGGTGCGATTGGCCCGCGGAAGGCCGGGGCGGAGCCCCGGGGATCCGGCGCGGAGCGGAAGTGCGGACCGTGAGCTGCGGTAGCGGCGCGACGATGGGAGCTCCCGGGGGGAAGATCAACCGGCCCCGAACGGTGACTGTGTGGGGGCCGCGGCTTTGTTTCCTCAAGCGTCCCCGAGCCCGTTTGTCTCGCCCGAGATGGGATCAATGGGGGGGGCCTGGGTTGCCTGGTGGAGCAGCCCGGGGTCGCAGCGCGCTGCCTCCGTCTGATTCGCATCTTTCTCCCGGGTAGGAGCTGAAGAAGAAGCTGTTCAAACGCCGGCGGGTGTTGAATCGGGAGCGGCGTCTGAGGCACCGGGTGGTCGGGGCTGTGATAGACCAAGGGCTGATCACGAGGCACCACCTCAAGAAGCGGGCGTGAGTACCAGATCCTAGTCCTGTGGGTAGTCCCGGCCGAGTCCTCCCTCCTCCCCGCAGAGCTCCGAGGCAGCCTCGCCTCTCGGCTCACCTCCTTGGGTTTCACCATGCTGGCAAGGCTGACCTTGAACCCCTGACCCCAGGTTGATCCTCCCGCCTCAGCCTCCCAAAGCGCTGAGGTTACAGGCGTGGGCCGCCGCGCAGGGTCTGTGTCCCTTCATAGGCTTCTTCAATGTAAATATTAGGGTTTCTACTACATACGAAACTTTAACAATTAATGTTAAGTACTTTGTTTAATACTTTTTCTATATTTAATGCTTTATCATTTATATTATTATATGTATTGAATACTTTTTCTAGAGCCAGAACCATTTGTGTGACCTCAGTTGGTTCAGGTCCTAGATGTATTTACTTTCGCCTATCCATCAGGTCCAGCGCACGTGCCAACATTACTCTGTCGGGGAAGAAGCGCAGAAAACTCCTGCAGCAGATCCGGCTCGCCCAGAAAGACAAGGCAGCCATGGAAGGTGAGTCTCGGATAGAGGTGGGTGAGGGAAAGCCTGCATTTATTTGGGTTAATACTTCCTTCTTCCCGTTACTCAGTGGAAGCCCCTACAAAGCCAGCCAGGACTAGTGAACCACAGCTCAAAAGGCAAAAGAAGACGAAAGCCCCTCAGGACATAGAAATGAAGGACCTTGAAGATAAGAGCTAAACCTCTTCCACTAGAAGATTCTCAACTGGAGCCAGCTCTCAGACTCAGTGGATGTTTCAGAGCACTTTGATAAAAGCAGTGTTCCTTTTCACTCTCCAGATTTCCTCTTCCCTAATGGCCTACTGACCTCCCCTAGAGGGATGTCTTTGGGAGGGAAGAAAGCTGAGAAGAAAGATTGGACAAGGGCCTCTGCAGCAGTGAACTCCATATGTAATAAAGCCCTAGCACTCTGAGATGTGTGTGATTAAATGGAGAAATGGGGATGGGCCATGAAAAGATTGGTAAATATGAAAACATACTCAACAATGAGACAGGAAACACTCACAGAGCTTGCTTGAGCAAATGCAGCAAAATGCCAGACTCTGCCTTAAAGAGTGGTGGTGCCTGGCTGGGTGTGGTGGCTCACACCTGTAATTCCAGCACTTTGGGAGGCCGAGGTGTAATTACAGAACTCACTGTAATCCCAGCAAGGTGAGTGGATCACCTGAGGTCAGGAGTTTGAGACCAGCCTGGCCAACATGGTGAAACCCTGTCTCTATTAATAATATAAAAGTTAGCGCCGGGCGCGGTGGCTCAAGCCTGTAATCCCAGCACTTTGGGAGGCCGAGGCCGGTGGATCACGAGGTCGAGAGATCGAGACCATCCTGGTCAACATGGTGAAACCCCGTCTCTACTAAAAGTGCAAAAAATTAGCTGGGCATGGTGGCACGTGCCTGTAATCCCAGCTACTCAGGAAGCTGAGGCAGGAGAATTGCCTGACCCCAGGAGGCGGAGGTTGCGGTGAGCCGAGATCGCGCCATTGCACTCCAGCCTGGGTAACAAGGGCGAAACTCCGTCTCAAACAAAAAAATAAATAAATAAAAGTTAGTTCATATCCAAGTCATGGCACCAAAAAAAAAAAAAAAAAAGCCAGGCATGGTGGCACGTGCTTGTAATCCCAGCTACTTGGGAGGCTGAGGCAGGAGAATCACTTGAACCCGGGAGGTGGAGGTTGCAGTGAGCTGAGATCCTGCCATTGCAGTCCAGCTTGGGCAGCAATAGTGAAACTCTTGTCTCCAACAACAACAAAAAGGAGTGGTGGTGCCTACGGGGGTGTTGCTTGAGGCCAGGAACTCAAGGCTATAGTGTGCTGTGATCACATCTGTCTCCCTAGCGAGTGATACTCTAACTTTCCATTGATGACAAAGATACAGACTATTTGAGAGGTTGAAGTTAACAGTGAGTAGAAATTGTGCCACTTGCATGTCAGCCTGGGCAACAGAGTGAGCCCTTTCCTTGTAAAATATACATATAGATCATTGTAGGGATGGTAGAGGTAAGGGTCCTGATACCAGTTCTGCCATTGCCCCTTGTGACCAAGTCACTTTACCTCTTCTGTCTTGCTTCTTTATTTTTATTTTTGAGAGAGTCTTGCTCTGTCACCCAGGCTGGAGTGCAATGCTATGGTCTCAGCTCACAGTAACCTTGGCCTCCTGAGTTCAAGTGATTCTCCTGGCTCAGCCTCCCACGTAGCTTGGGACTACAGGTGCCCACTACCACACCCAGCTAACTTTTTTTGTATTTTTGGTTGAGATGGGTTTCACTATGTTGCCCAGGCATGTCTCCTACTGCTGACCTTATGATCCACCCTCCCCAGTCTCCCAAAGTGCTGGGATTACAGGCGTGAGCCACTGCACCCAGTCCCGTCTTGCTTCTTTTGCTGGATTTTTTTATTTTAATGATTTTTTTAAAATATGCGTTTTTGAGTCAGGATCTTGGTCTGTTGCCCAGAGACAATCAACCTGGGTTCAAACAATCCTCACACCTCAGCCTCCTGACAAGCTGGGACTACAGGCACACCCCTGGCTTTTTTTTTTTTTTTTTTTTTTTTTTTTTTTTTTGAGACAAAGTCTCCCTCTGTTGCCAGGCTGGAGTGCAGTGGTGAGACCTCCGCCTTATGGGTTCAAGTGATTCTCCTGCCTCAGTCTCCCAAGTAACTGGCACTACAGGTATCCATCATGACACCCCCCCAAAAAAAAATTTTTTTGCATTTTTAGTAGAGATGGGGTTTTACTACTTTGGCTAGAATGGTCTCAGTCCCTTCACCACATGATCCGCCTGCCTCGGCCTCCCAAAATGCTGGGATTACAGGTGTGAGCCCCCGTGCCTGGCCCCCTTCTGCCACCTTTATACTTTGAACATTTAAGACCAATCTGGACACTGTGGCTCATGCATGTAATGACAACAGTTTGGGAGGCTGAGGAGGATGGATCACCAGGTGAGGAGATTGAGACCATCCTGGCTAACATGGTGAAATCCTGTCTCTACTAAAAATACAAAAGATTAGCTGGGCGTGATGGTGAGCACCTGTATTCCCAGCTACTTGAGAGGCTGAGGTAGGAGAATCGCTTCAACCCGGGAGGTGGAGGTTGCAGTGAGCCGAGACTGTGCCATTGCACTCCAGCCTAGGCGACAGACCAAGACTCCATCTTAGGCCGGGTGCGGTGGCTCAAGCCTGTAATCCCAGCACTTTGGGAGGCCGAGGCGGGTGGATCACGAGGTCAAGAGATTGAGACCATCCTGGTCAACATGGTGAAACCCCGTCTCTACTAAAAATACAAAAAATTAGCTGGGCTTGGTGGCGCATGCCTGTAATCCCAGCTACTCAGGAGGCTGAGGCAGGAGAATTGCCTGAACCCAGGAGGCGGAGGTTGCGGTAAGCCGAGATCGCGCCATTGCACTCCAGCCTGGGTAACAAGAGCGAAACTCCGTCTCAAAAAAAAAAAACCAAAAAAAAAAAAAACCACAAAAATAACAAAGGCCAGATGCAATGGCTCACCCCTATAATCCCAGCACTTTGGGAGGCTGAGGCAGGTGGATCACAAGATCAGGAGTTCAAGCCCAGCCTGGTCAAGATGGTGAAACCCTGTCTCTACTAAAAATGCAAAAATTAGCTGGGCATGGTGACAGGCACCTGTAATTCCAGTTACTCAGGAGGCTGAGGCAGGGAATTGCTTGAACCTGGAGGGCGGAGGTTTTAGTGAATCGAGATTGCACCACTGCACTCCAGCCTGGGTGACAGAGCGAGACCATCTCCAAAAAAAAAAAAAAAAAAAAAAAAAAAGCTGGGTGCAGTAGCTCACACCTGTAATCCCAGCACTTTGGGAGGCCGAGGTGGGCAAACCTGAGGTCAGGAGTTCGAGACCAGTCTGGCCAATATGGTGAAACCCCCACCTCTACTAAAAATACAAAAATTGGCCGGGCATGGTGGTGCGTGCCTGTAGTCCCAGCTACTTAGGATGCTGAGGTGGGAGAATCCCTTGAACCTAGGAGGCAGAAGTTGCAGTGAGCCAAGATTGTGCCAGTGCACTCCAACCTGGCAACAGAGTGAGACCCTGTCTCAAAGAAAAAACAAACAAAACAATCTTTCAGTAAAGTGATTAGTACAATAAACAAACTCCTATATATACCCTCTACTTAGATTTAGTATTACCTCTACCAGATTCAGTATTACCAATTATTAATACTGTGCTACCCTTGTGAATCTGCATTTTCCTTGTCCTTACTGAATTAAATTGTTTGAAAGTCAAATATGGACAACGTGAAACCTTATTCCTAAGGACATCCTTCTATGTAGCCAAAATACTATAATCACAGCTAAGATGTTTAACATTAATTAAATACCTAATATTCATATTCAGTATTCAGTTTTTCTTTCTTTCTTTCTTTTTTTTTTTTTTTTTTTTTTTTTTTTGAGACAGAGTCTTACTCTGTTGCCCAGGCTGGAGTGCAGTAGCAAAATCTCAGCTGACTGCAACCTCTTCCTCCCAGGTTCAAGCAATTCTACTGCTTCAGCCTCCTGAGTAGCTGGGATTACAGGCTCATGCCACCATGCCTGGCTAATTTTTGTATTTTTACTAAAGACGGGGTTTCACCATGTTGGTCAGGCTGGTCTTGAACTCCTGATCTTGTGATTCGCTTGTCTCCACCTCCCAGTGTACTGAGATTACAGGCATAAGCCACCATGATTTTTGTATTTTTAGTAGAGATGGGGTTTCACTATGTTGGCCAAGCTGGTCTCAAGCTCCTGACCTCGTGATTTGCCCTCTTCAGTCTTCCAAAGTACTGGGATTACAGGCTTGAGCCATCACATGTGGCCTTCTGTGTGTGTGTGTGTGTGTGTGTGTGTGTGTATTTTTAGTAGAGATGGAGTTTCATCATGTTGGCCAGGCTGGTCTTGAACTCCTGACCTGAAATGATCCACTCACTTAGGCTTCCCAAAATTTTGGGATTACAGGCATGAGCCACTGTACCCGGCCCACCAAATGGTTTCGTAGCCATGATAATCTTTACCTGAATTAGTTATTACTATGTTTCAAAATGATGATTTTCCAATACTGTCATTCGTTAATTCATATTATTCCTATGACATTCTATTAAGAAGAGCCCAGGCCATGCATTGTGGCTCACTCCTGTAATCCCAGCACTATGGGCGACTGAGGGCAGGGGATCATCTGAGGTCCAGAGACCACCTGAGGTCAGGAGTTCGAGACCAGCCTGGCCAACATGGTAAAACCCCCTTTACTGAAGCTGCAAAAAATTAGCCAGGTGTGGTGGCCTGCACCTATAGTACCAGCTACTTGGGTGGCTGAGGCAGAAGAATCACTTGAACCCGGGAGGAGGAGGTTACAGTGAGCCGAGATCATACCACTGCACTCCTGCCTGGGTGATAGAGTAAGACTTCTCGCCGGGCGCGGTGGCTCAAGCCTGTAATCCCAGCACTTTGGGAGGCCGAGGCGGGTGGATCACGAGGTCAAGAGATCGAGACCATCCCGGTCAACATGGTGAAACCCCGTCTCTACTAAAAGTGCAAAAAATTAGCTGGGCATGGTGGCACATGCCTGTAATCCCAGCTACTCAGGAGGCTGAGGCAGGAGAATTGTCTGAACCCAGGAGGCGGAGGTTGCGGTGAGCCGAGATCGCGCCATTGCACTCCAGCCTGGATAACAAGGGCGAAACTCCGTCTCAAAAAAAAAAAAAAAAAAAAAAAAAAAAGACTTCTCAACAACAGAAAAGAAGAGCCCTGCCCATTTTTTATTTTATTTTATTTTATTTTTTGAGACGGAGTTTCACTCTTGTTACCCAGGCTGGAGTGCAATGGCGCGATCTCGGCTCACCGCAACCTCCGCCTCCTGGGTTCAGGCAATTCTCCTGCCTCAGCCTCCTGAGTAGCTGGGATTACAGGCACATGCCA